TTTCCTAAAACCTTACCCTTTTTCTGTTATGTTACACTTCTGGTAGAGTGGCAAATTCCCATCTGTGAGAAAYTAAGGATTGCATTGCTAATGTTTCATTCCTAGTAGATTGCATGGCTTTTGTGCAAAATTTGCAGCTATTGATCAAAATTCATAGTATACTAAAAGGAAAAAAGGTGCAAAACAAGACTCAACACCCATTGACTTCTGTAAGACAGAGAAAGGCTTATTGTGGGGGTAGGATCTGTTAGACTGTTAAAAACATGTATAATGGGCTACCGGCTAGGTAACCCAATCAAGAGTGAACATGGCAGTGATCCATACAACTGGCGTGTACACTTGATTAGTTAAGGTCCCATTGTACGTGCCTTGTTTGTAGCAGATGTGAAGCCTTTATTATTGTATTCATTTTGGTACAGTTCACATTTGATAATGGTCATTTTTTATATTTGACTTCTTAAGCTTCAAGTTATTGCTTTCATAAATCTTTAGCTTTCTCCACTAGAGATGGTGTTACACATTGTCAGTAGCATCTGATCCAAGTTTAAGTAAGATGGATCAACTAATAAAGTTAACAGCAGAAACCAATTCAATTGAATGAAAGCGCTTGTTGTCATTTAAGACAGATTAAGACAATGAGAAATCATTGCTGAGGTATCATCAGAACTGAAACTATTGAAGGATATATTCATAGTTCTGCATTTATTTGTTTGTTATGCTAAAAATAATGAACAAAAATGAGTTCTAGCCTTAAACGCTAAGACCTACTCAATCTCTAAAGGATATTTTTGGAGATTAACATTGCAAGGTCCACTTGCCCACCATCTCTTAATTCTTGGTTTCTTCATTTGGTTTCAGTTCGCAGTTTTGTAGRATTCACCATATTGACAATGAACATGGAAAGCGATAGATAGATATTGTAATTTGGCATTTACATGCTTCGGAGCTGGAAGGTGGTGGCTATGGCGTGGCATTGACTATCAAAGGTTCAAAATACCGCAAGATATCCACATGTATCATACGGTACAGATCAGTTTTTGAACCCACCAATACACCAAATGACCAAGTAAAGGGCCAAATGGGAGAAAATGCAGCAARTATTTGGTTGTCCAGATATGGGAAACCAGGATTTATTAAAATGAGAGTCACTCAGTTATTTGCCAGGTCTTATGAGTGCAATTTAGACGGGCATGGGTAATTGGGTTGAGCAACCATTGAAATTTGAAGAGCCGAGGCCTGAGGGCCCGGGGCCCAATCCTCCCCCAACAAGGCAACAATGCAACATTTCTGCATCTGCCAGAATGGTGTTTGGTAATTTTACCGAAAAAAAAAACGAATGGATTTTGGTAAAAATAATGTATGTGTCTTGTTCTGTGGGCGTTTATTAAGAGAGTGTTTATATAAACATTTATCTGAAAAACGCTGTTTTAATAAATAAAAGCGTTTCAGTTTCGGCATTTTCTCATAATCGCCCATGAAACCAAACATAACCAATGCGGATACCTTGTTGACACACACACACGCAGCCATGGCAAAAGCTATGTTAATCCTAAGAAACAAGAACAAAGTCAATCTAAAATCATTGGAACCATCACCTTAACAAATCCTATATTTCAGTATTGACTGCAACAAGTTCCAAATCAATTAAAAGAAARCTCTAATCCCTTTTGCCACCAGTCGTGTTTTCTAATACAATACAAAGAGAGCTTCTTGACGACTGAAGGACAAAAGAGAATTTTTTGCAGTTTCAACGTCAAA